AATGTATACCCCCAACAACAGATAGCCCAAGATGCTCATGCTATCTTTCAACAGAGCTGCCTTATCTGCCACGGTCCTGATGGTGCTTATAAAGAGACACTCTTAATTGAACACAACGCACTCATCCAAAACGGACGGTTGTGCAGGGAAACCCTGCTGCCTCCGAACTGTATAACCGACTCCTGACCACTGACGCAGCTAAACGGATGCCACTTGGACAACCCCAACTATCCAGCTCAAGCGATTGACACAATCCGTAACTGGATATTAGCCGGTGCTCCCGATTGGGCAGCAGCCCCTACAGCCGATGGCGACTTTATCTCTCCTGCCGAAATACTCAATACCATAGAAACCCACCTGATGTCCCTTTCATCCTTTGACCGTGCCTTTGCCCGTTACTTCACACTTACCCACCTCTATAATGCGGGCGTGACACCAAGCATACTCCAAGAGTATCGCAAGGGACTCTACAACTAGTCAATAGCCTCTCATGGGGGAGCACAGTCACCAACCCACAACCCATTGACCCACAAGGAACAATCCTCTACATCGACTTACGACACTATGAATGGGACGTCAATGATGGCTGGGGGCAGATAGAAGCAGAGTATCCCTATCATATCTCATTTGATGCACCGGAACAACCGCACTGCGTGGACCAATTAAGTCGGTTGCAAACAGAGATGAAGAGTGATATACCGTCGGTTCATGTGGATTGGTTTGTAGCACAAGCATCTTTACCCCCACTGTACCATGACTGCTCTCTCTACCATTAACAGATAGGGAGTTAGAGACCCGACTGGAGGTTGATGTTGTCCGTAACCTACTCAATGCACCGGGGGTGCGTGTCTGGCGGGCAGGAACCAACAATTCAGGGTCTCCAATAACAATCGGGTTATAGAACGACACATCTCTCACATGGCGCGTATTGGAAGAGCTACGACTTTGCTGGCAGTGTGGGTACACAGAACATCTTCACCCACCCACCTCATTTCACACATGATGGTGGAGAGGTTGTCTTCAATCTACCCAATGGGTTACAGGGATACTACCTTGCTAATGCCTCTGGCTTTCGTTAGACGCAGCACCGATAAACATTGTATCCAACCCCGCAGCGAGTGACCCGACAGTACGGAATGGGTTATCCTGTCTCGGTTGTCATACAGAGGGTATGAAGACGTTTGAAGACCAGGTACGTTCAGTGATAGAGAGTAATGCCACGCCAGCGTATGACAAGGCACAGGCATTACGCTATACGCCGAACAATCAGAGATGGACGCACTCTGAGCGAAGATATGGATAGGTATAGGGTGGCACTAACAAAGACGGGGGGTGCGGTTGGAGACATAGAGCCAATTTCACGATTCCATGAGGTGTTTCAGGGACCGGTGGACGCTGCATACGCCGCCGCTGTAGTTGGATTAGAGACCGAAGCGTTCCAAGAAAAGATTCGTGAGAATACAGGGACTACAGAACATCGGTTGCTGGTGTTAGACAGTGAGAATGGGAGTATGAAGAGGACGCATGGACATCAAGTTTCCTGACTACTTTTTTGCGTTGACTTCCGAGTTTCGTGACAAGGCCCACCGTTGTGCCGGAACCGGACAGGCTACCGGGTGCGTTTGTTCATATCCCTGACCCAAACCTCCGTGCGGCGATTGCAGAGGCACTTGGTAAAAGTCTAATGCCCCTATTACTGTGGAGGAGATGGAAGAGATTGGGAAGGCTCGACGCGCGGAACAGGCTATTCAAGATTTAACGGGACTTCAGTTTGCTACCAATCTGAGAGACGTTGATCTCGAAAGGACATCAGATTTCCGACCTCTCACCGATAGCAGCTTAATCGACTTGCAGAGACTCGACCTTAACGGCAACATCCATCTCCGACATCTCACCGATAGCAGGGCTAGAATGCACAATCTCAGCCTTACTGAAACGTTTGCGGGACCGTCAGTTTGTCTCCGCCTAGTCGCCGGTGCAGGATAATCTCAACCATCACAATAATGACCCGTGTTACTCTCAACGAGTATATCCGACCTGTCGCCGCTTGCGAAAGTCTAATCAAATCCTCCGGTATTAGGTGCACCGATGGTTGAGTTTCCGACCTATCGCCACTTGCAGGGTTAATTAATCATCGGAGATAGATTTTGGCAATAACCGAAAGCATATCGGACCTATCACCCGCTGGCGGATTAATCAACTGAAGAGTACATTAACTCGTGGGGCAACCCCATATCCGATTTATCACCCCTTGCGGGGTTAACAAAACTGGGATTTGAAGGTCGGAGGCGCAGAATATCAGACCTGCGCCTTTAGCGGATAACAGTTTGAAAGACTGTACTGTTGCCGTTTGCAGCGCAAAGTATCAGATATCTCGCCCGCTTGCGGGGTTAACCGGCTTGAGCTCGTCTGGAACTTGGGACAACAACATATCGGATGTCTCGTCACAGCTTGCGGGGTTGACCAACTTGAAATGGCTAAAGGTTGCTCGCAAACGAGATCTCCGATTTTTCGCCTTTGGACGGGTTACGCGCTAATAATATGAAACTCGTCTGGCACGGCAATCCGGGGTTTCCTAAAGGGGGACCAAAGATAGAGGGACCGTGGCTGTGGGTCGTGTTGCCGGGGACAGTAGGTGAAACACTGAAAAACACCGATTTCTTATCAGAAGCAAGTGGAGGCGCGGTGACAGAGGTAGAGATTGCTACCCACGGAGCAACAGCGGGACAGTCGGTCGGGGCTGACGTATGGACAGCGCACAGCTTCCCACTGACGGGAGGCGATAACATGAAGATATGCTAGAAACGTTCGGATCCGATGACGGAGACAGTCTACGGCTCTGTGATCTCTGCATTCACCACGGGAACAGGAGACAACGATGTAATGTCGGAGGCGACGAGTAAAAGGTCTGGCTCAACGTGGAACTTTGAGTCATAGCCCATCGATCCAGTAGATAGTTGGGCTACGATTACAGGGATTTTTCCCGGTCACACTTCAGCAGGGGAGAAATGTTCTGTTAGTCGCGGTGTCGCCGATGGGTACGGCTTCTTTGGCTTGAATCCGGAACTCGAATATACAGTGGCAAACTCCGGTGTCAGCTACACTTTTTCCAAGACACCAATTCACCTCGCTGATACTCTTTATCCTCCACATTCGTGCAGAAAATGTTACCGACTTGGCTGGTTGGCAGTTTGACATCGCCTTCGATCCTGCCGCCCTTGAAGCCATTGACGTGAGCGAAGGTAATTTCCTGAAGACCAATAGTGGAACAACCTTCTTTCAGGTGGAAGCATTGATAATGCAACCGGTAAAATCACGGGACTCAGTGCGGCGCGGCTCAGTGCCCAAGGTGTGAGCGGTACTGGCACCCTGCTTCAGGTGACGTTCAAGGCGAAATCCGCCGGTGAAACACCCTTAACACTCGATAAGTTTGAGTTCGGCACTGGCACCGGAGAAAACATCCCCGCAGGACCGCATGAAGTTCACATTACTGTGGAGGAAGGACTCGCCACCGGGGACGTAAATCGGGATGGACGGGTGAGCATTCTGGACCTGATTCTCGTCGCACAGCAGTTGGGGAAAAGGGTATCCGCTGGCTCGCCGGTGGATATCAACGGCGACTGGTGTTGTCAGCATCCTCGACCTCATCCGCGTAGCACAGGGAATTGCCGGATCACCCGCCGCACCGCCAACCCCCTTGCTTGCGGGGGGGAAAGGGGGGGTAGAAAGTGCAGATGCTGCGACGATAGAAGCGTGGATGCACAGGCACGGTTGGAAGATGACGGCTCGCTTGCCTTCAAACAGGGTATAGAGAACCTTCAAACCTGTTAGCCTCGCTGATTCCTGAAGAGACATTGTTACTCCGTAACTATCCGAATCCGTTTAATCCGGAGACGTGGATACCGTATCAGTTGGCAGAGTCGGCAGAGGTCACGCTAACGATTACGATATGAACGGGCAGCTGGTTCGACGTTTGGCGTGGGCATCAAGCGCGGGTATGTATCGGAGTCGCAGCCGTGCGGCCTATTGGGACGGACGGAATCATCTCGGTGAGTCTGTTGCCAGTGGTCTCTATTTTTACACACTGACAGCAGGAGAGTTCTCAGCGACGCGGCGGATGCTGATACTGAAATAAGTAGTAGGCATACTCCGTATGCCGTAAACTCTGCAAAGTAGTATATCAGGAGACATTCTTTATGTTTAAGCGTTATTTAGTGGCTTGTAAGCAGCATCATCTCATCACTCTGATCGGTCTATTAATTCTCATTATCTGTTCTCAAAACATATCCGCTCAACAACAGATAGCCCAAGATGCCTACGCTATCTTTCAACAGAGCTGCCTCATCTGTCACGGTCCTGATGGTGCTTATAAAGAGACACTCTTAATTGAACATAATGCGCTCGTCGAAAAAGGAACGGTGTGCGGGAAACCCTGATGCCTCTGAACTGTATAACCGTCTCCTGACCACCGATACAGCCAAACGGATGCCACTTGGACAACCCCAACTATCCACTCAAGCGATTGATACGATCGTAACTGGATTTTAGCCGGTGCTCCCGATTGGGCAACAACCTCCACAACCAATGGCGACTTCATCTCTCCCAGTGAAGTGCTCAATACCATTGAGACCCACCTGATGTCACTCTCACCATTTGACCGTGCCTTTGCCCGGTACTTCACACTCACACACTCTATAATGCAGGTGAGTCAGCACAAATACTCCAAGAGTACCGAAAGGGACTCTACAAATTAGTCAACGGCCTCTCATGGGGGAGCACAGTCACCAATCCACAACCCATTGACTCACAAGGAACAATCCTCTATATCGACCTCAGACACTATGAGTGGGATCGTAATAATAGTTGGACGAAGATAGAAGCGGAATATCCCTACCACATCTCATTTGATGCACCGAACAGACCGCGCTGCGTGACCAACTAAGTCGGTTGCAAACAGAGATGAAGAGTGATATACCGTCGGTTCATGTTGATTGGTTTGTAGCACAAGCATCTCTACCCTCCACTGTACCATGATTTGCTCTCTCTCCCATTGACAGATAGAGAGCTAGAGACCCGACTGGAGGTTGATGTTGCCCAAAATCTGCTCAATGCACCGGGGGTGCGTGTCTGGCGGGCAGGAACCAACAACTCCGGTGTCTCCACTAACAATCGGGTATTGGAGAGACACACCTCTCGCTATGGCGCGTATTGGAAGAGTAATGACTTTGCTGGGAGTGTGGGTACACAGAACATCTTCACCCACCCACTCAATTTCACACACATGATGGTGGGGAGGCTATCTTCAATCTACCCAATGGGTTACAGGGATACTACCTTGCCAATGCGTCTGGCTTTCGTTTAGACGCAGCACCGATAAACATTGTATCCAACCCCGCAGCGAGTGACCCAACCGTACGGAACGGGTTATCCTGTTTAGGTTGTCATACAGAGGGTATGAAGACTTTGAGGACCAGGTACGTTCAGTGATAGAGAGTAATGCCACCCCAGCTTATGACAAAGCACAAGCATTACGCCTATACGTTGAACAATCAGAGATGGACGCGCGCTTGAGCGAAGATATGGATAGGTAAAGGTGGCACTGACAAAGACGGGGGGTGCGGTTGGAGACATAGAGCCAATTTCACGATTCCATGAGGTGTTTCAGGGACCTGTGGACGCTGCGTATGCCGCTGCGGTGGTTGGGTTAGAGACTGAAGCCTTCCAAGAAAAGATACGTGAGAATGTAGGACTGCAGAACATCGGCTTGCTGGTATTAGACAGTGAGAATGGGAGTATGAAAAGAGATGCTTGGACATCAAGTTTTCCTGACATACTTTTTGCTTTAGATTTCCCAAAACTCGTTGACAAACCTCCAGTGATGCCGGAACCGGACAGGTTACCGGGGACTGTTGTTCACATTCCTGACCCAAACCTGCGTACTGCGATTGCAGAGGCACTTGGTAAAAACCCCAATGCTCCAATTACTGTGGAGGAGATAAAAAGATTGGACGAACTCCGTGCCAATGGCAGAGGTATCCAAGATTTGACAGGACTTCAGTTTGCAACAAATGTAACGTTTTTGCAACTTGAAGGCAATGAGATTTCCGATCTATCACCAATTGCTGGATTAATCAATGTGCGCGATTTAAGACTTAATAACAACCTCATATCCGATATATCTCCCTACAGGGGATTAACAAATCTCACTAGCACATCGTTTCGCAACAATATGGTATCCGACATATCACCACTTGCAGGATTAATCAATCTGAACTATTTAGCGTTTACCGGGACCAATGTGTCCGACTTGTCGCCGATTACAAAATTAATCAATCTGGAGGTCTTTAAGTTTTGAGGGTAACAATGTATCCGACCTGTCGCCGGTTTCAGGATTCATCAACCTGAAACGCATTTCTGCTGGTTGGGGTCACTCTGTGTCCGATTTATCGCCTCTAGCGGGCTTAACAAAATTGGAGAATATAGCTCTGAACGCCGGAAAGCTATCAGACCTCACGCCTTTAGCAGGCTTAACCAACTTGAAAGAGCTGCATTTTCAGGACAACGACATATCGGATATATCCCCCCTCGCGGGGTTAACCGGGTTAACTCGTATGAATCTTGGGAGCAACAACATATCGGATATATCCCCCCTTGCGGGGTTAACCAACTTGAAATGGCTAGTGATCCATCGAAACGAGATCTCTGACATTTCGCCTCTGGAGGGGTTCCGCGAGAATATAACGACGTTCGTTTGGCACGACAATCCGGCGTTCCCAGAAGCGGGTCAGTCAATCGAGGGTCCGTGGTTATGGGTGGTGTTACCGAATACAAGGCTGAGTAGCAGTAAGGATTTGCTGTCAGAAGCGAGTGGAGGCACGGTGACAGAGACAGAGATAGCCACCCATGGGGCAATCGTGGGACAGTATGTCGGCGATGACGTGTGGACCTACCGCAAACTTCCGCCTACGGATTCGTTTAACGTTAGCCAGATGCTTGAAGACAGCTTCGATGGTAGTGCCGCCCTCTACGGAATGGTGTCTCTGCATTCGCCGCGGGAACAGGAAACAACGCTATACGTCGGCAGCCATAACGGGTTTAAGGTCTGGCTCAACGGAGCTCTGATTTACGAGGCACTCCGTTATCATGCGAGTTACGGTTACACGGATTTCTTCCCGGTCACACTGAAGCAGGGAAGAAATGTCTTGTTAGTTGCGGTTGAGCCACACTATAACGCCTTCTTTGGGTTTGATCCCGGCACGGAATATACAGTAGCAAACCCCGGTGTCGGCTACGCCTTTTCTAAACTCCAATTCATATAGGCGACACCTTTACCCTCGACATCCGCGCAGAAAATGTCTTTGACATGGCAGGGTGGCAATTTGATGTCGCCTTCGACCCTGCTGCGCTTGAAGCCATTGATGTCAGTGAAGGTAATTTCCTGAAGAGGTGGCACAACCCTCTTTCAGGGTGGAACTATTGATAACGCAGCGGGGAAAATCGAAGGCATCAGTGCTATACGGCTGTCTACCCAAGGCGTGAGCGGCACCGGCACCCTGCTTCAGGTGACGTTCAAGGCGAAATCAGATGGTGAAACACGCTTGACGCTGCAGAACTTTGAGATTCGGTGCTACCACCGGGGACCTCATCCCTGCAGGACCGCATGAAGTTCGCATCACCGTGGAGGGACTGCTGGCGACCGGTGACGTGAATCGGGACGGACGGGTGAGCATTCTGGATCTGATTCTCGTCGCACAGCAGCTGGGGAAAAGAGTACCCGCCAATTCACCAGCGGACCTCAACCGCGATGGGGTTGTTAGCATCCTTGACCTCATCCTCGCGGCACAAGCTATCGGTACTACAACGTCCGCTGCGCCTGGGATTGGGACGGAAAGCGCAGATGCTGCAACGATAGAAGCGTGGATAGCACAGGCGCGGTTGGAAGATGACGGCTCGCTTGCCTTCAAACAGGGGATTGAGAATCTTCAAGCCCTGTTAGCTTCGTTAATACCTGAAGAGACTGCGTTATTGGCAAACTATCCGAATCCGTTTAACTCCAGAGACATGGATACCGTATCAGTTGGCAGAGTCGGCAGAGGTCACGCTAACCATCTACGATATGAACGGGCAGCTAGTTCGCCGTTTGGCGGTGGGGCATCAGGCAGCGGGTATGTATCGGAATCGCAGCCGTGCGGTATATTGGGACGGACGGAATCATCTCGGTGAGTCTGTTGCCAGTGGTCTCTATTTTTACACACTGACAGCAGGAGAGTTCTCAGCGACACGGCGGATGCTGATACTGAAATAAAGCACACTTTGGGCGTATAGGATAATAATTTATTACCTTCGTCCTGTTGAGGAGGAAGTCGAGATATGAATCTCGACCTACTCTACTGAAATAAGTAGTAGGCATATTGTTTTGAATCCCGATTTTATCGGGGCTCCGTATGCCGTAAACTCTGCAAAGTAGTATATCAGGAGACATTCTTTATGTTTAAGCGTTATTTAGCGGCTTGTAAGCAGCAATATCAACCACACTCATCGGTCTATTAATATTCATCATCGGTTCTCAAGATATATCAGCCCAACAGCAGATAGCACAAGATGCTCATGCTATCTTTCAACAGAGTTGTCTCATCTGCCACGGTCCTGATGGTGCTTATAAAGAAACACTCTTAATTGAACATAACGCACTCATCCAAAACGGCACGGTTGTGCAGGGAAACCCCGATGCCTCTGAATTGTATAACCGACTCCTGACCACTGACATAGCCAAACGGATGCCACTTGGACGACCTCAACTATCCACTCAAGCGATTGATACGATACGGAACTGGATATTAGCCGGTGCTTCTGATTGGGCAACAACCTCCACCACCGATGGCGACTTCATCTCTCCCAGTGCAGTACTCAATACCATCGAGACCCACCTGATGTCACTTTCATCCTTTGACCGTGCATTTGCCCGGTACTTCACAATGACACACCTTTATAATGCAGGCGTGACACCAAGCATACTCCAAGAGTATCGCAAGGGACTCTACAAACTAGTCAATAGCCTCTCATGGGGGAGCACAGTCACCAACCCACAACCCATTGACCCACAAGGAACAATCCTCTACATTGACCTCAGACACTATGAATGGGATCGTAATAATGGCTGGACGAAGATAGAAACGGCATATCCCTATCACATCTCGTTTGATGCACCGACACAGACCGCACTAAAGGAACAACTGGGGCGATTACAAACAGAGATGAAGAGTGATATACCATCGGTTCATGTAGACTGGTTTGTAGCAAAGGCATCTCTACCTCCACTGTACCATGATTTGCTTTCTCTCCCATTGACAGATAGGGAGTTAGAGACCCGATTGGAGGTTGATGTTATCCGTAACCTACTCAATGCACCGGGGGTGCGTGTCTGGCGGGCAGGCACCAACAATTCTGGTGTCTCCAATAACAATCGGGTTATAGAACGACACACCATCTCGCTATGGCGCGTATTGGAAGAGCTACGACTTTGCTGGCAGTGTTGGGACACAGAACATCTTCACCCACCCGCTCTCTTTCACCCATGATGGTGGGGAGACTATCTTCAATCTACCCAATGGATTACAGGGATACTATCTTGCCAATGCGTCCGGCTTTCGTTTAGACGCAGCACCGATAAACATTGTATCCAATCCTGCAGCAAGTGACCCGACAGTACGGAATGGGTTATCCTGTTTAGGTTGTCATACAGAGGGTATGAAGACCTTTGAGGATCAGGTACGTTCAGTGATAGAGAGTAATGCCACCCCCGCTTATGACAAAGCACAAGCATTGAGACTATACGTTGAACAATCAGAGATGGACGCACGCTTGGGCGAAGATATGGATAGGTATAGGGTGGCACTGACAAAGACGGGTGGGTGCGGTTGGTGACATAGAGCCAATTTCACGATTCCATGAGGTGTTTCAGGGACCGTGGACGCTGCGTATGCCGCTGCTGTGGTTGGATTAGAGACCGAAGCCTTCCAAGAAAAGATTCGTGAGAATATAGGGCTACAGAACGCGGGTTTGTTGGTGTTAGACAGTGAGAATGGGAGTATGAAAGAGATGCTTGGACATCAAATTTCCGGACAATCGTTTTTGTCGTTAGATTTCCTTCCCCAAAGCTCGTGACAAGCATGTGAGGCCGGCACCAGCGACGGTAAACACGTGAGGCGTTTGTTCATATCCGACACAAACCATCCGTGTCTCGCATAGCAGAGGAGCTGGTAAAAAAGCCTAGTGCCCGAGTACGGTGGACGAGATGGAAGATTGCGAGACTCAAGTGCAGAGAACGTAATCCAAGATTTTGACAGGACTTCAGTTTGACATCAATTGGACAATTTAGAGTTTAGGACAATCAGATTCCGATTCTCTCACCACTAATAGCGAGGCTAACTAAACCTGCGCCGCCTCGGAGGCTTAGGGACAACCTGTATCAGATAATACCCGTGAGGACTTAACAATATCACTCACTTATCGTTTCGCAACACTCTGGTATCCGATCTGCACCATCTCGCTTTTTTTTTGGATTAATCATTGGACAATATAGGGCCTTTAATGGCAACGGGGCAAAATATCCGACTTCTCACCACTCGCCGGATTAATTAACCTGAGAATCATTCACGCAGGAGGACATCCTATATCCGATTTCTACTCGGCAGGGTTAACAAAACTGGAACATCTATATCTACCCGGCTCCCATATATCAGACCTAACGCCGTTGGCAGGGTTAACCCGCTTGAAAGAACTGTATCTTCATCATCAGGATGTTCTCTCGGATATATCACCGCTTGCGGGGTTAACCGGATTAGAACGTCTGAACCTTGAAGACAACAGTATTTCGGACCTATCTCCGCTTGCAGGGCTAACCAACCTAAAGGCAAATTCTTATAGTCAAGGAATACTCCGTACGTATCACGCCCCCCTGGCAAGGTTAACTAAATTAACATGGCTAAGAGTCGTTAGAGACAACATTTAGACCGGCACCTTTAGCGTGGTTTTGGTGTAACCGGTTTGGGTTGAAGGAATTGTATCTTCGAGAGTGCGAAATATCGGATATATGACGCCCTTGCAGGGATCTAATCGAGTTAGAGAGATTGAGTCTTCACCACAAAACAAATTGGAACCTATCTACGTTGCAAGACTTGAATACAATTGAAAATGGAATAGAGATATTCGGCACAATATTTCTGACCTTTAAACATTGGGAGGGGTTACGCGACGACTATAAAGCGCATTGGTACGACCATCGGACTTCCAAAAGGTGGGACCCGAAGAAGATTAGGGGTCCCTGGTTATGGGTGGCGTTACCCAGCACAAGACTCGAAAAGGAAGGACCGAGTTGCATCTGTAGCGACGCAAGTGGTGGGCAGTAGTGACAGACCGACGGAGATTGCGACCAACGAGCGATCAGTAGGAAAGTTGTTGGTATGCGTCGGGAAAAAGCTATAACCTCCGCCGACGGGGAGGAGAACATCACACCATAGGCGAGAGCAGCAGCTACAAAACAGCGATCACTCCCAATCCTGGAGCAGCACTCTACGGCTCTGGTCCATTTATCACAACGGGAAAGAACACAGCGATTGCGTCGCGGGTGATTGATTGGGAGAGTAAAAGTTGGCTAACAGGCACTTTGATTCACGACACGTCTCGAGCATCGGAGCATCAGACAATTAACAACGACTTTTCCCGGTTTCACGACTTCAGCAGGGAGAGAAAGAAATGTCCTGTTTGGTTCGCGGTTCTTATACTGGGGTAAGGGTTTTTTGGATTTGAACCCGGAACGGAATTACAGTCGAAACCCGGGTGTCGGATACGCTTGTCCTAAAAACTCCCTTCTATAGGCGACACAGCTGGACCTCGAAATCCGCGCAGAAAACTGTTCTGTGACATGGCAGAGGTGCAATTGATGTCGCCTTCGACCCTCCCCCCCCCCCCATGCTGCGCTGACGCCATGATGTCAGTGAAGGTAATTTCTGAAGACCGGGTGGCACAACACTCTTTACGGGTGGAACTATGATACCGCGCGGGGAGGAAAATCGAAGGCATCAGTGCTATTACGGCTGCTACCCAAGGAGTGAGCGGCACGGGGGCACCTGCTCAGGTGCCGTTTCAAGGCGAAATCAGATTGGTTGCAACACGCCTTGACGCGTGAGACTTTGAATCGGTGCTACCCGGGGACCTCATCGCTTGCAGGACATGAAGTTCGCATCACCGTGGACGGGGATGCTGGCGACCGGTGACGTGAATCGGGACGGCACGGGTGAGCACTGGATCTGTTCTCGTCGCAAGCGCTGGGGAAAAGAGAACCCGCCAATTCACCAGGGAACTCAAACCGCGATGGGGTTGGGCATCCTACATCA